AAGTATAGAATCCCAAGATGACAATATTATAACAAACAATATTAGGATTGCGTCCCTTCACTTTCATTCTACAAATGAGCTTATAAGTCCCTCTTACCTTTTTTCTTTCTACACAAACTATTTAACAAAGATGTATACGTTAGAGTATCTAGAATGAATCCCTTATTCAATATATTGTCCAACAAATCAACAACCCTAATGACTTGGCTCTTCCTACGAAGACCCTGCATAAAATGCGACATGACTGACCTTTGGGATAACATTCCTCTTGAAAATTTGATTGAACAATGAATATGCAGTTCTTAATTTATCATTAGAATAGAATGCCCACGTCAAGGTGTCATAGGTTTCGGTGTTTGTTGAGACATCGAGTCAACCAGAGTCCCTGAAGAGATCAAAAGCACAGGTAAGTCCGATGGCTAACCATAACTTGTATGAGGTGATTGGAGTGTCTAGCTAGGGGTTTGTAATCGAATTCTAGCATGGTGTAGGTCTTGGGGTCTTTATTAAGTATTTTGGCATTGTTCTATATGAGGATGACATCTGAAAAGAGGCCAAGGGTGACGGAGTAGCCATTGGATTTGAGGTGATGCATCATGCTATCCATAAGAGAGAAGTAGTGAGCACATCCAAGCTTGCATAAGTGCGTAGAAGAGTAGGAGTGGCGGAAATTGGGCTGGTGGGGAGCAAGATCAAATATTTTTTTAGCATGGAGAGGATTTGTTTGAGAGGCAATGGGCTTCTAGATTCGAGCTAGAGACCCAATTGGGGTTGGAGATTGACGGTGATGGTGATTCCTGATGCTGATGTTGTTGGAATACGAAGGAAGAGAAGTAGGAGGAGGCAATTGAGGTTTTTGGCAGGAGAAGTAGACGGAGAAAATTGAAAAGGTTTTAGAAGGGTTAAATGATTGATGCATTTTGAAATTGACAGTGCAGTGGCATCGATATGGTGTGGGCCTGGGCTGGAAAGTTGGAACTTATTTGGTGAAACAAGTGGAGCTGGGCTATTAGATACCAATTGATGAGCTTGAGTAAAGAACAAAGTAGTCTGAACAATGTTGCAAAGATAGGAAAACATGTCTTTCACATGAAAGAATGCATGTATAACCTAACTTAAATCACCTTGGATTTGATTTGAAAGAGTTATAGGTAGAAGTTTATATTTAAAAGAGTGATTAATATCTATAGATTATACCCTTAGGTTATGTTTGGTTTGAAGGAAAAAGTAGGGAAAACTATACAATGTTTGTAAAGGTTTCCCTATCTTTTCCTTCATTTCCTTACTTTTTCCATCAAACCAAACATAGCATTTGGGATGACAATCTCTACCAAACCTGTTTGGTATCCACCCCTTGTTGGGGGTAGGGTTTTTGGCTTGGAGGATGGATTTTGGGGTTGGGACAGATTTTGGGATTCTACAAACCATACGGGATGGTATTAGGCTAAGCCTGAACCTCCCCAACCCTCATATTGTTGGAAAGCATATGAATTTTATACACTTTTGTAAATGTGAACTTTTGTAAGGTGAAAATCCATAATATGGGGGATGGCATATTTGGACCGTATGATCTAAACCGGAAGCCAATCTTGAGAGTGCTCCATCCAATAAGCATCGAGTATGCTGGCCAAAGGATTCCTTCTTGAGATAAAAACTAATGGGGCTGTCTAGTAAGTTTCCTTATTACCGAATTAGGAAATGTCTACCTTTCTCTTCCTTTTCATACCTTTTCATTCAAATCAAACAAAGATTTTGTTTCAATATAAAATGGGTGATAGATTTGTCAACCAATAATTAGGAAGTTTTACCTAGAGCTGAAGTATTTTCATTTTTTCAGGGTCGATGTTTAAGCCATCTCATTTAACATTCAAAAATTTTCAACAAAACAAGAGGTGCGACTGAATCATCCACCGTGAAAAAGTGGAAGTATATACTTTCAAGACCGAGCAAAACTTTTTTCTATGTCCTTGCTATCTTTAGGTTGTTCTGTATTACCATACTAATTATTAAACAAATCATATACATGCAAGATTGGTAAGGTCTCCTGCTGGCAGTAGTAGAAGCTTGAGATCAAATCCCACCTGAACATGGGTTGGGGAGGTTATGGGATGGGGGATGGACTAAAACATCTTATACATTGCATTAAATTAATTATTCTTGCCAGCCCCTAACAGAACTCAAAGGGCAATGCATACATTTATGAAGGAGATCCTCTTGCCTACATGACTGGAATAGACCTGTCAATTAACCAATTATCAGGCAATATTCCAATTGTAATTGGGGATTTGATAGCTGTCCATTCCTTGAATATGTCTAATAATTTCCTCACAGGTCCCATTCCCCATTCCTTTGAAAATCTTCAACAGTTAGAGAATGTGGATCTTTCTCATAATAGGTTGGAAGGAAACATCCCTCCTCAATTGATTCAACTCCATTCTCTGTCCACTTTCAATGTTTCCTTCAATCATCTGTCCGGCAAGATACCTTTTGAATATAATTTTCAGACTTTCACTGAAAGCAGTAACATTGGAAATTCAGAACTTTGTGGGCAGCCGCTGCTTGTCAATTGTTCATCGCCAACCAACCTTTCACCACAAGCTAATAATAGTAATGGAGAAAAAGGACCAAGATTGGTGGATAGAGATCTATTTTTCTTCTCTTGCGTGGCTATTTTTTATGCACTGGGCTTCTGGGGTGTCATTATTCCTCTACTTATTAGTAGGAGCTGGCGCAGGAAATACTATGGAGTTGTCAATAGATGCATCATTTGGTGTAGTGAAAGGTTCTGAGGTTCTTTCTCTATTACGTATGTTTTGTTTCATAAAAGAATGTAACAAACAAATAAACATACTGTGATATCATTTGTAGCTTTCCTCACAATAATATCTTCAGCACTGAAGTCCTGTTATGTAGGTGGTACCTGGAGTAGTCTGAATTACTCCATGATCACGTCAAGCAGCTTGACACAAGAAAGTATATCTATTACCTTCCAACATATTGGCTCAAACTATATGATCTTTACCAAATACTCAGGTTCATATACTAGTGTTCTCAATCCTTTTCTTTTCTTTCCTTCCTGTTCATTTATTTAATTTTGCCTTCCCATCATTCCATGTTTGGTTTTTAGAGAACTCAAAAAGCTGGGCGGGTCTAAAGATAGGCTTGGACAGTTGGACCTAAACCACAAGCCAATTGTCATGGTTTAGCCCCACAATGAGCTAGGTCCTGCACTGCTAGGGCCAGTCTGGTCTACCCAACAACACTTCAACCATAAAACTAAGGTTCAAAGTATCAATACATATACGGTCGATATGTATCATGTTAATACATATTGTGCCGATGACTTACTGATACGCCCTTCCAGAGGTTGTATCGGGTCAAACACTGGTTCACAAGGTAATCGGACCTTAAACCAACCCCTTTGAACCGGTCTCGAAAAAAAAAATAAAACCTAGAAAAAAGTACCGATACAACCTGTCAATACTATGAACCTTGATAAAACTTTCATTGGGATTCAAAGCTTCCATAACGTTGAGATTATTATATCTATAATAATAATAATAACAACAACAACAACGAACGCTAAGATTTTTGATAGGCCAGTTTAAATACAATAAATGTACCTAGAATATGCTTAGGCTTCATTTTTACCTTCTAATCAATAACAAAGTTGTTGAATCCAATGAACAAGATACAGGATATAGAAGCTCAAAAGAAACAAGGGCCAAGAAGAACTCCAGGAGAGAGAGACCCAAAGAACAAACTCCAGGAGAACAGCTCTCAACAAACTCCAGGAGACAAACAGCTCTCCTTGGAAAGCCCATTCTGATTTGTGTTAAGGAGTGGCCAGGAGCCCAAGGATATCAAGCCGAGCTCGAGCCAAGAACAAACTCTCTCTCTCTCTCTCTCTGTGGCCCTTGTTTCTTTTGAGCTTCTATATCCTGTATCTTGTTCATTGGATTCAACAATTTTGTTATTGGTTATAACAAACTCTAGGAGACAAACTTGCTTGATAGAGGGAGTCACAAAAGACAATCAAAAGATTTCCTTCCTCATCTTTACTCCATATCCTCATTTAAACAAAAACATTTTTTTCTTACTTTGTTTGGTTCTGAACTTGGTATTTCCTGGGACTTGGGATCAAGAAAAGGCTTAAGGGACATTGAAACTTCAGAAATCTTGAATCACGAAAATTTATTTTAGGGTGTCTTCTTTGAAAATTCAAAATCTCATTGCCTCATTTGGACAGCCAATTCTTGTGAATTTTTCTTTTGTGCATCGTTTTTTTTTTTTTAATTCTTCACTCTCACCACGAATTACCACAGGTTTACCTGGTAAAGGCCATTTGGAATGCGAAAGTTCTACCAAAAAACTCTTTGAAATGCAAGCAGTGAATCTACTTTCCACTTACCAAGGCAAGAGAATTAGAAGTTTACAAGGGCAGTGATCCTTTGAATAACATGCAAATAAAGAAAATGACAATATTCAGAGAAAAATCATAAAAGGAAGCCATCATTGAGGACATTTTGGTCAAAGCAGTTCATTGGCTAAAAGCATTAGACGCTTTTGTCCCTCAGATGACATTCATTATTAGGGGCTGGCAATGGGTGGCATTCATATACAGCTAGATCTACAATTTCAGTGGAGTGGTATCCACCAAGCAGGAACCAAATCAAGTCAACTTTGATGATTAGTATGGGTTATGCCGGCATCTCTCACATGGGTGGAGCATTTAAGAACAATTATAGAACCATCATAACCATCTTTTCCAGACCAGTACGAGTTGGGGATCCAACAATGTTTAAGGCTTGATATCAGAATTATAGTGGTGGATGGGGAGTCTCAGGTAGTTTTGTTCATTGGTTTAACTTTGAAGAACACAAACCAAGCCTTGTGCCAATACAATTACAAATATGTTACCAAGTTAGGCAATTGGAATCTATCAATATAACACACCAATGTCTCTCTAGAGTCCGACTATGAGACTGGAAAAAGCATGCTATCTAAAACTCGTATAACCAGTGAACTGAAATTATAGTAGTAACCAATTAGCTGGTATTTATAAAAATTCACGGGGGATTTGATTGGTCAAAGTTCTGCTATCATACCTTTCCAGCATCATGGATATTGCCCTCTCTCTAATCAGAGACCCAATATTAATATTAAGATTATAAAAAATTACAAGAAAGGCTCCAATGAGGATGTTTTTATATTGAAATCCCTTACTATAAATTTTTCTTCTTAAAATAACTCCATTCCTTGTGCACTAACAAACTGAATACTCCAACGTAGTGTAAACAGGGCTTTTCAACTGAAAAGAGGTCACTTCAATTGATGGACACAGAACTGGCACCACATTTAAGCCTTTCACTTCACTAAAAGGATTGCATGTGTACCAAGTTAGAAATGACAGATATCCACCCTAATAACATAGACTTGTACCTGAAGGCATCGCACATATCTTTTTGTATATCCTAAATCATTCACAAATGGCACCTTCAAAGCTTTTGCTAATTGACAAGCTGATGCAACAAACCTGAAGAAGAACCAAATATATTAAGGTAAACTCAGAGTCTTGATGGAAATAGAGCTGAGATTGAGAACAAAGACTGTTCAGGGGGTGGAGGTGATTTTACTGCACAATTTCTTATTTATTGTTCTTTACATATTGTCCTTCCTTGCAAAGCTTATTTAAAGATCCTTCTTTTTTTTGACTAATTTCATTAGCTAAAGGAGACACAAAAGGTGTAGATGGGAGGATGTACAAAGGCCAGATACAGAATGTACAGCCATACCAGATTTCCTTGTTATTGGTCCAAAAAATAAAAAGAAAAAGGTAGGGTTTGATTCAAAAAAGTATGAAGTTGAACTTTCAGAGTCTGAGATAAATAATTAAAAGGAAAAAAAAAAACACTACATATTTCACCTTGATGTTTTCCCTTCAGATAATAGATTCGGCGTTCAGCAGAGAGAGACAGAAAGAAAGAGAGATCGAGAAAGAGAAACTTTTTTCATTGACCTCATAAAGTGAATCTCAATTGGATTAATACAATCTAAAATACTGAGCAAACAAGGAAGTTTGGCACAAAAGAGCACTACATGCAACTATCTTTTTAGTTCAGGTGAGCTAAAAATTTTGGTTTAGTTAAAGATCAAAATATAGTATGTAAAAGAATAATGGAATCATAAAAAATACAGAATCATGATTTTTTTTTTTTTTTGAAAACAAAGAACCCTTGAGAAGAAAACTGCTGGATGCCAATTTAGCATTAGCCCCAATACTGGGGTTACATATTTCCAAAAATTGTGGGAAGATTTGCATGAAGAATGAGCTTATAAACGTTCCCCTCATTCAGGGCATTCAGATTTTTCTTTTCTATTTTCCTCTTTCATTTGGAAAGAGGGCATCGACATTCTAATATTAAATCCAGAATAAGCATGAAATAATACCATTGTAAAATTATCTTTCCAGAGGAGATCGGTAGCAGTGGCCGTACACAGCTGTTCAACTACAAACATGAGGAAATAAGAGAGGACAGTGACTCACATATTGCAGTTATTTTGTAGTCCCTGAACAGGTAAATTGAACGATGCATTTTGGGTGGAACCCTGGTATTTTTGAGCTGCTGCACCAAGCTGACAAACCTGCAGAGCAGAAACAATATTAATCAAGGATAGACTATTAAACATGCACTACATCACACACATTATCCATCCCAGACTTCCAACCTAATTTGTTGATGAAACCAGTACAATAGGGATAAATTTAAAATATAAAAAAAAAGTCCTTGTTGAAAATGTTTTTCCGGTTGAGTCCCAACTCAACTAAGCCCTGTCCCAGCTTGATGGGAGTTTGTCAAGAAGTTCCAGTGCCGGCTGCCAACCTGACACAACCCTCCTTTGTCCAGACTTAGGACAAGAAATGTAAGATACACTCCACAGTCCACATTGTCACTAACAGTTCAAAGAATGCATTTTTAATCAACAGTTCAAAGAATGCAAAGAATGCATTCCTATCTAGGGCAATTCAATCAACAGTTCAAAGAATGCAAAGAAAATACTTGTCAAAGACTTTTTTTTTATATGAATAAATACTTGTCAAAGACTTAAAGCAAATATATATAGTAGATACTTGGAAAGCATTCCTATCTGGAAGTAGACAAACCAACACAAGCACATGACACGAGTACATATTTGTGTATATTGCGAGTAACAGGGAGTCTTGAGTTCCAGAAATGCACGAGTGCCCTTTCAGCTGGCATGCCTCTAGCAAAGACACTGGATTCATCAGAAGAGGATTCTTCCTCCGATGAAGAGCATGGCATACATCATGGCACTTGACAGAGAGCTACACATTGATTTTGATCCTGTGCTGCATTTGGAATTCATTCATCAGAAATTTGACCTAGGAAGGAGGAGAAAGGTTTAGTAAATTCTTCAATTATTTGGAAGAGTGGGATCATATCTCTTCTGAGTTAAGTGTAGGAAGGAGGTTGGGCACAACGGAACTAGAACTCCAACTTACAAGGAAAGGTTCAGGAGAGCTTTAGCCGTATAGGTGCTTTTCTTCAAGTGATTTGTTCAGGGTTTAAACTTGGTTTCTTTGGTTGGTCACTAAGCTGGGATATGGTTGAATCTGAAGGATGTGATGGTTGAGTTACTCTCTCCCTCCAATTTCATCTTAATGAATTCTTTATCAGTAAAAACATAAATACAAATAGACAGTAGATGCATACATCATTGATACCTCCTTACATTAGCATATCATTAATTGGAAACTTAAAAGAATTCTGATGATGCTGTGTGAGATTGTTTATTAAGAACAACTCAAATTTAGAATCTGCAACAGTGCAACCGCATTTTTATCAGCGTTGGGAATTAGCTGTGTATTTTTTGTATCATTATTAGTTGCTTTTATTGGGCCCAAGGCTCATTAGTTATGTGCTGGTTTTAAGTTCTTTTGATGTTTTGACAGTAGCCTTCCTATTAAGGGTATATTAGACATTGTACCCTCTTTTATTTTATTCTCAAGTATAAAAGTTAATAGGTTGAGGCAGCCAGGTTATTTTTTGTCCTTTTCTCTCCTTTTCTTCTTTTGTTCTACTTTTTCACTCTCTTATCAATTCTTTTTATTTTTGTTATTTGCTAATTGGTATCAGAGCTGTTTTCTAGAGTTTCTTGGAGCTCACCCATGCACTCCTAGAAACCCACTGCATGAAAGAGTAAAGGACTGATTGTTGATTGAAGAAAGGTCCAGTTCTTGGATTTTTTTTTGGGGTTCAATTCAGACATCACGAGTGTGATCTTTGATTAAACATCAAAATAAGGAAGAACTAGAGCTATGACTTAAAAGGCGCGCCTACGCGCACAGGCTAGGCACATTTTAGGGTAGGCGCCTCGCCCAGGTCCTAGGTGCAGCCCTTTCAAAAGGTGCATGCGCCTAGGCATGCGCCACCTTGCGCCTCAACCCAGGCATGTGCCTTTTGAAAATTTGATGCTTTTTTGCTTTTTTTGAACCAAGTGGCTGGGCCAAGGCTCCACTTCGAGAACTCCCTATTTGGTAATGTTGTTCATTCATTCATCCTAAAAAAATATCTTCTTAAAAAGTAATTAAAATTATAAAATCATTATTTTGTGTGAGAATTAAGAATTTAAGACCCTAACATGGACTTGTTTGGGCTTGCCTCAAGGAACATGGCACAAAGGTGGCTCGTAGAATCAAGAGTGTAATATGTTTTACATCACATTAGCTACTTGAAGTAATGCAATTGAGAAAAAAAGAGAATGTGGGTTTTACATGCTTGAAAATGTTTTATATGTTTGATTTTATTTTTAAATTCTCATTTGAATATGCTTTACATGTTACGTTTATGTATTTTAATTTTAGATAATAGGTTTTTTAAAACATTTATTTTAAAATTTAAGTTTATATTTTTTTACTAATGTTATGTTTAATATTTTTTTGCATTTATTTTGAATTTTTTGGCATTTCTTTATTTTTGCGCCTTGGGCGCAATTGACCCCTGCACTTTTAAAAATCATTGAACTAGAGATAAAGGAAGAGTCTTAGTTAGGCACTTAGGATTTTTTTAATTTCTAGAAGTTTTCTATAAGGGGTGATTCAGTTTCAGGCAGTTTCTAGGGCTCCTCATGAGATTGACAGCCTCTTCTCTCCTTTCTATCTTTTTTTTTTTTTTTGATAAATGTCTTCTCTCCTTTCTATCAATTCAAGGGAGCATAGGAATCTCTCTAGGTATGTGTTTTTCGTTTTCAAAAATGTATTTGGAACTTCTAGGAGGGATCGATCTGACCTTGGAGGTTGTTTTTCAATTTTTATTGGTGTTTCATTGATGCCTAGGGATCAAGTACCATCACAACTATTAAATTGGATGATACAAACTATATGGAATGGGGACAATATGAATAAACTAGGATGGCTATTGATGTACATGGAAAACTGGGGTATATCATTGGTAAGGAGAAGAAACATGAGACAAATTCCTCTCAATGGGAGCAAGAGAATCACATGTTAATGACCTGGATGTGTCTTACTAAAGAAAAAAGAACTGGCTATGTAATTCTATATTACCTCATATTAGCAGAAATTTCTTGTGAGTAAACACTGCTAAGGAAATTTGGGATGGAGCAGCAAAGACCTACTCAGAAAATCCTCAACAATCAGCAACTGCAACCAAGAGTCTCTTGCAGCAAGGAAGAGCTTGAAAATTAGGTACAGCTTGAAAAATTGGAAGGGAAGATACAGGAATTTGGTTTATATTGGACAAGGGATTACATGTCAAAGTTAACCCATATAGATAGAAAAATCAACAAAGGGTCGAGTAGTATTGTTTATCTAAGACTCACATGGAACTAGCATCTCCGAAAAGGTCTTCCTCTCCCCCTACAAAGACCTTGGCCTATAATATGAGGATGAACACCAATGCTAAGACAGAATTATTTAACACTAACCTTCTTCGATCATATGCTGTGTTGCGCAGCTGAAGAGCGCTTCCATGGATGGGCCAAAAATTCCTCAGAGTCAGTTTGACTTCAGATTAATTCCTTTGCTAAATGGATTCCAAGCTGCTTAAGCTTCTGACTATTGTGGATTCCTGATGTTTCTAGCATCTGCCTACTCAATTTACCTGTAAAAGAGAAATTACCTGTTGTACCAGGATACCAAACTCATGTATCTTCAAAAGGAACTCAGGTTGCTTAGCACCATTGTTGCATTAAATTGTAACAACAAACTGTGATCACCAAAGAGGTCATTCCCATATTGCCTACATGTAGAAAAATCAAGCCTTCCACGATTTATGCCGTGTCTTCCTGACCATGTATTCCTCCAAAAGAGGCCCTGCTTCCACTATCCTCGTGTCACGTTTTATTTCTACCTTCATAATCTTACCCAATACATCTCCCATTCTCATTATCTCATCCGTATCACAAATTCTGGGTACAATCTCCACCCATGTGTCTGTATGCGGAGCTTCACCATGACGTAGCATTTCCCCAAGCACTTCACAAGCTTCCTCCATCTTACCAACAATGCAGAAACCTTTTACCAAAGCATGAAAAACTGAGAAATGTGGAGAAAACCCCTTTGATATCATCTCATACATATATTTTTTCGCTTCATCAAGCATTCCCATATTACATAACCCACCAACCAATGTCCGATACGATACCAAATTCGGAATGCAACCATTGGACGGCATATCCTCGAGAACCTTACAAGCATCAAGAGCACGGCCTTCTCTACAGAACCCCAGGATGACAGTATTATAATGAACAATATCAGGATTGCATCCCTTCACTTTCATTCTACAAAGTAGCTTATAAGCCTCTCTCAGCTTTTTCTTCCTACACAAACTATTTAACAAAGTTGTGTAAGTCAGAGTATCTGGAACGAATCCCTTATTCAACATATCGTCCAATAAATCAACAGCCCTAGTGACTTGGCTCTTCCTGCAAAGACCCTGCATTAAAATGCGATATGACTCGACATCCGGGACAATGTCCCTCTTAAACATTTGATTGAACAATGAGTAGGCAATGCTTAATTCATCATTAAAACAGAAAGCCCGCATCAAGATGTTATAGGTTTTAGTGTTTGTTGAGATACCAAGTCGACCGGAGTCCCTGAAGAGATGGAAAGCAGTGCGGAGGTAAGTCCGATGGCTGACCAGAACTTGTATGAGGTGGTTGAAGTGTCTGGCTAGGGGTTTACAGTCGAATTCCAACATGGTGTAGAAGGTCTTGAGGGCTTTATCAGGCATTTTGGCATCGCCGTATATTTGGATGACATCTGAGAAGAGGCCAGGGGTGACGGAGTAGCCATCGGATTTGAGGCGTCTCATCAGATTATCCATAAGCGAGAAGTAGTGAGCGCGTCCGAGTTTGCAGATGAGGGTGTGGAAAGAAGAGTAGGAGTGGCGGAAATTGGACTGGCGGGAAGCAAGATCAAATATTTCTTTGGCAACGAGAGGATCTGTTTGAGAGGCAATGAGTTTCTGGATTCGAGCTGGAGACCCAATTGAGGTCGGGGATTTGGAGGAGGGTGGTGGTGGTTCCTGATGCTGATGTAGTTGGAATGCCGAGGAAGATGAGTGGAAGGAGGCAGCCGAGGTTTTTGACGGGAGAAGAAGCAGGCGAAAGACAACTTTAGAAGAAGGGTTAAATGATCGATGCATTTTGAAACTGATGGTGCAGCGGCACCGCCCTGTAGGAAGTCGAAGATCAGAAAACGATAAACAAGGGAGACGTTTCGAGCACCGAGCGAGTTCCCATTCTATAATCCATCGCTCCACCTTTTAGCTGAACCCTCCAATAAAAGTTCGCTCCGTCATCCTAAATGCTTTTACGAGATTTAATGGCAGTTAACCATCTCATTGGGGTTTCATTTTTCAATCCCCTGTTGTTCTGTTAAGCGAACCTCGGAGACGCCGCCCTCCCCCTCTATCCTTCTCTTTATTCGTCTTCTTCTTCCCCAGTTCCCTATTTTCTACAACCGAACCTCAGAGGTTAGAGCCGCCGCCCCCCATCCTTCTTCTTCTCCAATCCTTGTTTTCTCCAACCGAACCTCAGAACCGCCTCTCTTCTTCTTCTTTTTTCCCCTCTCCCTCTCCAACTTTCCTCCTCTACATCCTCAGTTGAGAAAACCCAGCGAAACCACTCTCACCGAACGCTGTTGAACACCGAATCGGGGAGGTGGAGACGATTCCATCCTCTCTCTCTCCTGACTTTACCTTTCGGTTCCAGTGCGAAAAATAATTGGGACTTGGGAGGGCTCTGCGTTTGGGGTACGTTGGTTGAGCATCTATCTTCCGCATAAGCTCCTCAGATTAGCTTATGAACAGAGTCTTGAGACACGTTCTAGGGAATTCACCTATTCGCGCCTATACTTTCATTTGTAGTAAAAGTAAATTAATATGTAATGACTAATATATCCATTCTTATAATAATGTAGCATTCCCACAAATTCTATCAACAACATAGTTAAAGTTTTTCTTCCCCTGCAAAATTATAGCAGTGCAAATGATTTGAGTGTAAATTCTTACTCATTTTTGTTTCAAATTTTAGCTTTTTTTTTATTGTATTACAAATAAAATAAATTCAAAAATAAAATTAAGGGAAAACCCTGTACTTTTGGCTTAGTGTCAATTTACTCCTCGAACTTTAAAATGCTACAATTTAACACTTGAACTTTCAAAATGTGACAATTCGATATTTGTCATTAACTTAGATGTTAACCAGTCATTAAGTGGCATTTAAAAAAGATACAAATGTCCTTTGATTGTTACCTAATTTTCTTTCTCAACCATCTAAACATTGGCAAAAAAAATTAACAATCCTAAGTCCTTGTGTCTTTTATTCAAAAGTGACCCCAACTTTCCTGAATGGAAGAGGTAAAGATTTAGGACTTAATTTTTTGTCAATGTTTAAATGGTTGATCAAGAAAATTAAATAACATTTGAAGGGCATTTATAACTTTTTCAAATGTCACTTAACTGCATATTAACATCTGATTAACGGTAGGTACTGGGTTGTCACATTTTGTAAATTCAGGTATTGAATTGTCGTTTTAAAATTCAAGGACGAAAATGGCACTAGGCCAAAAGTACAGGATAGTAATCAAGAATTTTCCCTAAAATTAAACGAGAATTTACATTTTTTTTATTTACACTCCCATGCATTTGTACTAGTGCAAATAAAATTGTATTACAACCAAACTTAGCCCTAGGGACAGAAAATATCCTATCCCGTCCAATCCTATTCGAATACGTCACCTTCTCTCTAAATTAATTTAAAGCTGACGGACTTTTTGGTTCTAATGGCAGATGGATGCCAAATTTTATCAAAAATAATTAACCCGAGCCTATCTCTCCATGCCACTACTCTCTTCTCCCCCCTCACCATATCGTCGTTGTCATCCTTGTCATTGATACCCTCAATGCTGCAACTGAGCCACTTCCCACAGTCGAAGACGACTCTGGCAACTACTTCAATTTTGGCTGACAGAAAATCCTATGTAATCATCTCAATAGTTTTCTAGGAAAATGTCCTCCTCTATGGGTTTATCTATTTTATTTGTTTCTTATCATACTTGATGACTAATGGCCATCTTATGGAAGCAAATGCAAGGTTGGGTATATTGACATGAAAAAGTAAACCTATGGACAACAAACCTCAAATGTGATATGGGCTCCTCTGTTATTTCTAAGAAATTAAAGCTGAAATCTGTTCTGGGTTCTTCCATTCTTTTTAAGAACTTTGTCCAAACAAATTATCCTTTTAGGGACCTTCCACTATAAATATGGGCCAGCAATAGCAAACATAAACTGGCTCTAGACTACAACGCTTGGTTCTGTTTGAAATAATATATAACTACGATTTTACATTTCTGTGACTTTTGGATGATTAAACATGCCATGGATGAGTTCCATTTAATGGATTAACAAGGCTGAGTTATATTGTTACTGATTCTCAATAATAATCCTTATCAACGAAATACAAAAATTGAAGAGCAGCAGTGAAGGATTATGTCATTGACCAAATAATAGTAATAACAACAAAACACTTCTACTACATTTCTTTGGTGGTTGTAGGCTTGTTAATGCGGTGCAGTTAACAATTTACCATTTGGAGCTTGTAATTTAGGCAACTTCTATGGTGCCAGATGGAAGGGTGTTTTCAATCTTCAATATGCAAACCCAGAATAAAACCAAGTATTAATTAATGGGGACAAACTGGTCTGATTGAACCCCACATCCCTTAACAATACTTTTGACCTGAACGATTCCGTTGATTACAAAACAAACATCTATAATTTACCCAAATTTCTTGTCATTTCTATCACCGACTTGCCTGTATTTAATTTATTGGGGAGTAGTAAGGGAGTATTCCAGCAATGAAGATGAACCCAATGTGTATCAAAGTTTGGATGAATCTGATCAAATCAACTGCCAGCAAGTATGCAATTTTTATGTTTTTCTAGCTATTAACATAACATGTTAACACAGTGCCTATTCATCACATGTCCCTGTGTACTTTGAATTCAGCCACTCACTGAGAAAGAAGCCAAGAGTGACAGGTTCTGAAGAATAGGCTGATCTAGGTCATATCTGATTATGCGAAACATACCTCAGCAGAGAGTATCAACGACAAGGATAGCAGTGGCGATATCTTTCACTGCGGGAAGCGGCTCAGTTGCAACGTTGTCGCTGAAGGGGTTTCATGCTATGAAATCGTCGTTGAGGGTGAAGCAATGTTTTAAAAATCGATCTGGAAATGGATTCGTTTTGGTCACCAGTTTTTGGGTCAACAGTCTGATCATCTGATTTAAACATTTTGATAGGAAAATTTAAAAATTAAAAAAAATAGTTAAAATTTGTGATAATTCATCAGTTCAACCGCCTGGGTCAATGTTTTGTTGACTTTTTCAACAATTTTTTTTATCAAATTTTGAGTTTATGCAAAATCAGAACCGGTTACCTAGACTGTTCCCGGGCCAAACAGTCCAACCGTCCAGATCAACGCGGTTCAAAAGGAGAGGTAGGCTCGAGTTAATGATTGCATACCAAACCTCAGAGCTGTGCAAACGCCAATAATGATTGCAGACCGCCCTTTCATCTTGAAGCATTGACAAGGGGCAGGAATTTTATTTTAAACTGTTAAGTAGCGTTGGAAAGTCTCATCGCTCCTTTCACATTATTAGGCAGGGATCAAAGATCATAAATAGGCTCGACCTCGATTATGAGAGGACGGATCCCCGTCCATTATTTTTCAAAACGATTCATGAATAACTTATCAATTTCTTTAGAAAAGTTTCGCTTATTGATGCACTATTTCGTTTCTCAACTCTTGGTTTTTTTTTTGTTCTTTTCTTTTTCTTATTTTTTCTAACCATTTTTTCATAAATGAAGTTCTTTTGTGATTTACCTTCTATTTTGCCATTGGTGATCGGTCTACTCTATAATGTCTTCCTTTGTTTTTAATAAATGTTTTAAACTTTTTGATCTGTTATTGGGCGTTCTTTCCAAAATAGGTTTGAAGATTTTATTTCTATCTTATTAATTCATAAATAATCTTTTGGGTTATTTTGATGTGGAAAATATTTATATAAGCATTTCATATATGTTTGTATTTAACTTGAGAGAAAACCCGCCTGAATTTGGTAACCGGGGGATTTTACATTTTAGATTGATTGAATTTTTTTTCCAGCAATCGAGGTGTTAACCAAGGTATTTTAGGCTACCTGTATTTGTTAATTTGACTGTGTACAGTTCAGTTTGCTAATGGACTGATCAGCTTCAGACTTTCGGTAGCTTTGTTGCTATGGCTGTTCTGGTTCATTGGTTCAGAGATGACGATGGAGGGAGGAATAGAGGATGGAGAAAGAGAGTAGAAGAAGAATAAAAAAAAATAGGGAAAGGGCGTTAGAAAGGAAAGAATTTCCTTTTTTTTTATTTTGTTTTTACTTTTAAAAAAGCAAACCATCAATTTATTTGAAACGTGACGTGTTACAATCTTATTGGGAGTGAGTGCATCATGGCACACACCAAACAAGTACAGGAAATCCGGATTCTTAAAAAATGGTCCAGTCTTTCTTTGTCCTTTATTTGTAGAAAGATTTCCGTTACAAGGGAAGAGGGGTGGAAGAAATGGGAGTTGCAGCAGCAGCAGCACTATATATCTTGCTTTAGGCGGGATGTTGATCAAGATGGTGAACAGCTTCTATGCTCTAACTACGTTAGCCATAATAAGTCTACTCCCACACATTCTCATACTTCTATTGCAATTCCAACAGGTCTTAACATTTTTTTCTTTCTTCATCTTATTTAGCATCTATTGTAAGGTAATGAATAAATTAATTAACCATAATAAGTTTACTTTTTCCGTATATTTCCATACTTCTATTAGAATCCATCGAATATTAATGCCTTTTCTTTCTTCATTTTATTTAGATCCTCATATACCATTCTTTGTAGTCATCAATTTCTTTAGCTCTTTTACCATTCCATTTAATTTCTTATAATCATGTAAAATTATTTTCCTCTTCGTAGGGTTTACCAACTCCATAATATTTTCTATTAATACTCTTACATTCTAAATGGCTAAACCAAGCCATGTCTCTTGGACTAGCTTCTTTACTCGTCATCATCCAAAAGATGTAGGAACCCTTGTTTATTTAATAGCACAATCATGTTTTCAGCACTAGTACCCAGTATAGAAAATCCCACGTCATTGCCACATCATGTCCTCGTTGGCAGCAACAAGCTCCAAATTCGACGTTTTCCCAGGCCACACCTTCTCGATTTCCAAGGTAACTTGGAACACCTTTTTTTATGAAAAAACGGTTCCAAAACATATTACCATTTTCTAGGGCACCGATTTTTTCGACATGGCACTAGTGTGTCACCATTTTCTGGAGCAACAACACCAGTTCCAAACACTGCCTATATCCTTCCAACAATTATCAATTGGATGGGATTTTCTCCTTCCACGTTTTTTCTAGTCTCTCTAATCTACACTTCATTGACCTATATTTCAGCGTCTGTTTGGAACGGTTGTCATTGCTCCATAAAACAATGTCACATCAATGCCATGTAGGAAAAAACGGTGCTCCAAGAAACAGTCATCTGTTTGAAACTGTTTTTCCATAGAAAAAGTGCTTCAAGCCCCGCCTTGGAAATCAGGAAGGCATGGCTTGGAGTAACGTCAAATTTGACATTTCTTGGAGCTACAGCTCATTGTTGCTAACAGGGTAGTAATGTGGCACTGGATAATGGATAGAAGTGCAGAAAACGTTTCCTGGAGCATTAATACCAAACAGAAAAAATTGTTACTCCAGGAAACGTCCTACTTGACAGCAATGATTCCAAACAAAAAAAATGCACCATTTTCTGAGAAAATGATACTTCCAACCCACACATCAACAGAACTGCATCTGTAGCATCGATGCCAAACAAATACTCAAAGAATCTCCTGTTAGAGGTTAAGACCCAGCTCTCAAATTGGGTTCCATCATTCCAACTAGGCCATTTATATCTACATGATTGCATAATCAACAAAAGCAGCCAGAATATAATTCCCGATTTCCTTTCTACCCAATACAAACTACATACTGCACTTGATTCCCTTTCATTGAAAGGCAACCTTTTTAAGGAATCAATACCTTTATGAGGGTGATCCTCTTGACTACATGTCTGGAATAGACCTTTCAGTCAACCAAGTCAGGCAATATTTCAAGTGAAATTGGGGATTTGATAGCTCTTTCATTGAATCTGTCCAATAATTTTCTCACAAATCATATTCCCAGTTCCTTTCAAAAGTTTGAACATTTAAAGAGTTTGGATCTTTCTCATAATTTCTTGGTAGGAAGCATCCCTCCCCAATTGATTCAACTCCATTTGTCCGGAAAGATCGGATATGAATATAATTTCACTGAAAGTAGTTACATTGGAAATTTAGAGCTCTGTGGACCACCACTGCCTGTCAATTGTTCATTGCCACCCAACCCTTCACCACAAGCCAACGATAGCAATGGAAAATGAGGATTCAAGATTTATGGATGGATTGCTCAATATATTATGTTGTCTAATAATATCCTATTACCACAGAAAAATATTCAACCAAGAAAAAAAATGGAGTTAATATAGATGGCCCTCTGTCACTAAGTCACTAACATGGCAGGATTCTCTCCAAGCAAAAGCTCTGCACAGAAATGCATGAAAGCATGGAAATCTCACCGTACATTGGAAATATCTCTCTATGAATTTTATATTAAAATATGAAAGATATACCCAACGTGAGAATAAATGCCATGTGAACGGAATTTTTGCTTCCAGGAGAGTTGGGCTGTCATTAAAATGACAAACAGTAACAACTATCTCCATAGTGGATCCCATCCTCTTTACACCCACAATTTTGATAATGTAATTTGCTTACATCAATTAGAATTTCAACCCAAATCACACATATGAAAGAGAGATCTCACCACTATTGTATACTATGATAACACAAATTTGAATTTTGGAGTCTCAACTTTCAAAGACACTTCTATGAACTCTCGCTTACAAGTTCCATTTATATTGATTACTCAATGCAATGCATGCAAATTTTTATTCTTGCACCACTTCTCAGCATGCCCCAAGTAAACCTCAGAAGTTCATACTTACAAGCACTCTTATGTATTAGTATCTTAGAAGTAGTCGTTTAAATTTTATGTTCAATACAGTTTATGTATTTTTGGGATTTTAAGTTTCCCAAGTGCATTGTCTTTGTATATTGGTTTCCTAAGAATTAAAATGTGCATGCATACTTCTATCATTCTTCAATATTTTTTCAATGTATCACAATAGTTCAAACATTTCTCCAATGAGCCTTTTAATTCATTGTTGTTGTACTTTTAGAGATTTATTTGAGTTTCCTTAACATATTCATTTGTATTACTTGTTCTAATTTATTCATGTATATTCTAATACGACTCTTAAAATTGTCTTTTTCTAATATTGTGTTTCTGATGCTTTTATACCCAATTATTTCTGAGATTTTTTTATTAATAAAACACTGGTTCTTTTGGCTATTTCAATTGCATGGGCATCCTGATCAGCTTGCATCTCCCAATTTTCATATTTTTTATTTGTTTTTATTCGTAATGTTAATGTAAAAAAAGGAATGATATTATGTGCAAATAGAGTTCGGTTTCAGTCAGCGCAAGCCCGTGCTCACACCATTCGAACTACCTCTTGCAACTTTACATTGGGAATATCTCTTCGTGAAATAAAGTAAATAAGTATGGAGATATTCCCAATGTAAGACTGTAAAAACTGTTCGAATGGGCCAAACTCGTGCAAATGAACAATATACTCAAGACCCTATCCTATTAAGGGAAAAGTGTGAGTTCACATATGTACCCAAAAGGGGGCGCCCACAACGTCCCACTGTGTATTGGGAACATCTCCCGATGACGACATCGTTATTTTTTATACTATCAGATGTTCCCAATATATGGCGAGGATGTGCTGTGAGAGGTTGTGGGATGCAGATCTGAACTCGAAAAGTGCAGGTTTTGCTTTGGATACCTTGGCAGGGGGGCATAGGCCTTGCTTGGATAGAGGGTGGAAAGTCGGACATGTGGTAGAAGACTAAATAGAAAAACTATATTGTCGTACGAGAAAAATGGTCCTTACGAAGAAATGTTTATTTATTTATTTTGCAATAACAGATGAAATTGCCAGATTTTACTATGACTCATTCCTGTTTCAGTTAATGCTGCTTCTTTGCTTTGCACACCATTTGCTCTTGATTTTGGTGGCGTTACTGGCGTATGATAAATTTGAGCTTCAAAAAGTTCTGAAGACGGCATTTAAGTCGAATTCTGAATTTCTGATTTGTCCAAAACTTTCCACGCCGAGTAATAAATGTAACGAAACCGTTAGGTATTTTACATCATAAATACCTCTGAAAAACGTTTACGGTTTTACGAAAATACCACCTTAATAAACGAGAAATTAATTTAAGAATTCAGTGATCAATTTGATCCACAAAGGGGTTTTAACTTACTGGTGGATTGATGCCAAATCCACAGCACCTCCTAGATGACTGTAATTTTAGATTTCTGAGGGGGAATACAGTCTACTTATCCTTAATATTATAAATGCTCAGTCCAAACCTTTTGTCCTTTTTTTTCTTTAATCCAACACGATAGCTACTAAGACTGCGTTTGGAAATGATGCAAATAAGTACGAATACAAATATATAGTGTGTAAAACGGTTCACATAAATTGCAAAATTGAGTTAGTTTTGCACTGACAAATTTATCTTCTTACCAAACAGATTTTTAGCTATAATAGATGCAAACATGAATTACAATGAAATATATGCTTTTTTTCTTATCAAAAGCCCAATTGAATGCAAATTTACCTCTTTTTTATTGATGTACTTTTACATCTTATTATCAATGTAAATATGCATTGGCCTGTCATTTGTCAATGCATAAATATAATGTTGTCAAACACAGGCAAACGTGATCGAGAGTGCAAATTTACCCTAAACCGGAATTTACACTTCATTTGCATCGTTTCCAAATGCAGCCTAAAGAAGCACACTAGGGAGCAAAATACCGATGGACAATCTGAATTGTGCCACGAACCCGGTATATGCCCGTTTGCAAATGTCAAGACTGGAAAGTGGAAAGCTCCAGGCTTCCAGATGAGCATAACCTGTGGGAAAAGATTACCGTTTTCCTTTGCGCATTAAACTGGATAAATTCTTCTGTACCGATTGTCCAATACAAAGCAAGGCCAGCTGAACAGCTTGCAAACCAACACACCCAGAGATGAGAGAGAGAGTTTAAAATTTAACACACTGATGACATGATAGTTACAAATGGCCCCCAAATGGATGAGGTGGATATACATATCCGAAAGAATGTGACCATGATTTCCCATTTTGAGGGTGTTAGAAGGGGATAAGCAGCCATGAATCGAAAACCATCAAGTACAGGGGCTTGCCAAAAAGGGGCTCGCTCTCACATACCAGGTAAACAAGGCGTGGAGGTGGAAGAAACTCAGGAGGGTAATGGATCATATATATATATATCGTTTCAATGGTCACACTTAGATATATATATTTCCCTTTCCCTGAAATTAGTACACAAGAGGAAGGAAAGCCCAGAAACTATAGCCATGATGAACAAACGTATTTACTCACTGGCAGGCTGTTCCCATGTATTCCTCGCACTGTTCCAGCAGCATTTCTCGATCATTGATCACGAACTGAAAGACGACATCGTTCAGTGGCAGATCTGGCGGAACTAATCAAGAAAAGTAACACCGACAATCACATTGCCAAGCTTTTCTATGGAGATGGTTTCCAATCAAATTGGAGATTATTGAAGTTATTTACTGCTCCGAGTCCGCCCAATAGCCGGTTCCCCAAATCCTGTTGCTGATGGTTCATGCCCGGATCCTGCGGCATTGCTGGCATGCCCACCCTTCCGTTCAATGTCATGGCATTATTGCCCATGGCAGCTCTGATTCCAGTTCCCATGGTGTTCTGACCAATTCCAACACCCAAGCTGCCAAATCCCACACTGCCAATAGTTGAGTTACTGGCAATCCCATTTCCTACTAAACAATTCCCACCATTGAGAATGGTGTTGTTGCTTGTCTGCACAATCCCATTTACATTCTTCATGTCATTCCCTAAAGAACCAACACCAACCATACTACCTCCATTTAACTGGGAGGACATCATCAAATCTTGTATTATTTGCTGCACAGAGCTCTGGGTATCATTTGGATCAGGTTCATTGGACTGTGTTGGCTGTTGCATGGATATATTGGCCGGTGAATTTGCAGAACTTATGTGGTTGTTGGTGGCCGCTGGTAAAGTACCATGAGAAGTCTGGGGCCCATTGTTAGAGGTTGACGGTGTTGGTGATGGAAATGGGGAAGATGGATTGGGCTGAGCTGGTGGTAGTGAACTTGAGGAGCCCGCAGATGGTATTTGAACTGTGTTCCCACCATATGAACCGTTGGTATTGTTCATTGGATTTTCCTGCCTGGAATTCATGGAGTTCTGATGGAGAAGACCAACAATGGTACTTGTAGTAGAGGTGGTAGATGCCATGTTGTGTGAGTTATTTACACCGACAACACCATTGCTAGCAACAAGTTGCACTGCAACCTGGGCCGAACTCTGGTCATTGTTAGAATTCTGTGCCATCGTTTGCTGCTGTTGTTGTTGTTGTTGCTGCTGTTGCTGCTCAGGTTGTTGAGCTTGATTATGGAGTGCAGATGATGGATTGGTTCTCCGAGGAAAGTTGATCAAGCTTTCTGAAGAAAAAAGAAACTTAATTACCATTTTCCCTATAATACTATGCAACAAGAATGTGTTGGTAACAGTAATCATTTATGAAATTGTAATAGAAACCTCTTGACAAAGAACAAGAGAGAAATGAAGAACCAACATTACCCAGATACAGAAAAGACATGGGTGGACAACCTCACAAAACACAAATGGAAAGGAGAATAGGAGGGAGAAGGAAAAGAAACAGAAAGAAAACAATAAAAAGAAAAAGAAAGACAGTAGACTTACCCATAGGTCCTGTTCCTGTTTCTCGACTATAATCAATTAGATCTTTCATACTATTAACCACCTCTGAGATCTGAAATAACAATCCATCATAATCAGATTGCCTGGACAACCTTAAAATTTCTCAAACATTAAAGATACAAAAATAATTACAAACTCCATAAGAACACAAACAATGTTAACTTACAAGAAATGTTTATACCAGACATGTTCCATTATTTGTTAGTCCAAGAACAAACAAACACAAAAAAAATAAGTGTAAATATAATTATATAGACATTTTCGCTCATAGTAAGGACCATATTTTAAAAACCAAGCAGTGGTGCATCCATCCATGACCATCTGTTTCCTTTCTCTTTTTTTATTAATAAGAAAACATTTTATTAAATTATAAGAAATCATTGAAGATTACAACCACCAGCTCCATAGAGCTCGGGCATCCCTCAATTATCATTTAATGTTGCCTGATACAAATGATCTCTAGACACCCTTTGTTTGACCAACCCATCAGCCTAACCATTTGCTAACCCTCTATTCCATTTGAAAGAAGCCTCAACTTCATCTGCAAGCTTTCTGATTTCTCTTAACTCTTGTCTATAGACTCATCTTCCCCGACTGATGTTCCTTAACCAACCCACCACTAACAAAGAGTCACCTTCAACCACCACAAAAGCCAAACGATTTGCTGTTCCCTTTCTCTTTTACCTTCTCATTGGTAACAAAGTTGCTGAATCCAATGAACAAGATAAAGGATATAGCTCCACAGGAAACAAGGGCCAAGAACTCCAGAGGGGAGAGAGAGAGAGAGAGAGATCCCCAAACCACAAACTCAAGGAAAGAAACGGCTCCCCTTGGAAATCCAATTCTGGTTTGCTAACCGTTGGCTGCAGTAAAAGGAATTCAGATTGCTAATCAGCACGGAGTGGAGAACTTATTAATTAATTGAAGGAGATCCTAAAGTGGTTGTGGGCTAGCTGTCAAATACAGACTCAATTGTTTGGAGTTATAGGGATCAAATTAAAAAATTTAAATGGTTAACAAGACACAATGTGTAGATACCAGTGGGTGGGTAGGAGGCAAATGTTTTGCCAGTTTATCTTGCTAAACAAGGATCTGCTAGGGATCTGTTATTTTGGGCTGCTTTGTAATCTTTATTTCTGACCACTTGTAATGTTTAGGGGAGGCTGCATCTCATGCCTCTCCAAGGAATGCTTGTAAAGTTTTATTCTACTTGATTAATGAAATTAATTTTCAATTATCAAAAAAAAAAACAAATTCTGGAATACCTTTGATCAGGAAATAGACCATTAAATGTTTCCTTCCACATATTTACTCCATGTCCTCAGTTAAACAAAAAACTTTTTCCTACTTTGTTTGGTTCTGAACTTTCCTGGGAGTTGAGATCAAGGAGAGGCATAAAGGACATTGAAACTTCAGAAGACTTGAATCAGGAAAACTCAGTTTAGGGGATCTTCTCTGAGAAGTCAAAATCAGGAAATCTCATTTTAGGGGACCTTCTTTTGTAGATCCTTTTTTTTTTTAAACCTTCGCTTCTCACCCGAATTACTGCAGGCTTTCCTGGTAAAAGCCATTTGCAAAGTGAAAGTTCTACCAAAATTAAAGGCACTCTTTACAATGCAAGCAGTGGATCTACTTTCCATTTACCAAGGGAAGATAATTAAAGTTTACAAGGGCAGTGATCTTATGAACAATATGCAAATAAAGAAAACGAGAATATTCAGAAAAAGGTCCTAAAAAGGAAGTCAGTGAAGACATTTTGGTCAAAGCAGTTCATTGGCTAAAAACATTAGATGCTTTTGCACCTCAGATGAAATTCATTATTAGGAGCTGGCAATGGGAGACATTCATATACAGATAGATCTACAATTTCAGTGTAGTAGTATCCACCAAGCAGAAACCAAATCAAGTCAACTTTGATGGCTAGTATGGGTTATCCTGGCATCTTTGGCATGGGTGGAATATTAAAGAGCAATTATAGAACCATCATAGCCATCTTTTCCAGACCAGTAAGAGTTCAGGATCCAACAATGGTGAAGTTGATGGCTGTTTTACAACACCTAAAGTTGACTATAATGCTAGATATCAGAATTATGGTGGTGGATGCATAGTCTCAGGTAGTTGTTCATTGGTTGAACTTTGAAGACCACAAACCAAAGTTTGTGGCAATAGAATTACAAATATGTTGTGAAGTTAAGCAACTGGAATCCATCAATATAACACATCAATGTCTGTCCAAAGATTCTAACTATGATACTAGAAAGGCATAATATCTAAATATCATAACCAGTCAACTGAAATTATAGAAGTGGTACCCAATTAGCTGGTAGCCTGGTACTCATCGAAACTCACGAGGGATTTTTATTGGTTAAAGTTCTTCCGCTATCATACCTTTCCATCATCATTGATATTGCCCTCTCTTTTAATCAGAGACTCAATATCAATGTTAAGATTATCAAAAATTACAAGAAAGGCCCCAATCAGGATTATTATATAACTCTCTTGCTATAAATTTTTCTTCATAAAATAATCCCATTACTTGTGCACTTACAAACCTAATACTCCAACATAGTGTAAACAGGATTTCCTAAAAAGATAGCAGTGCACCAAATTAGAAGTGACAGATATCCACCCTAATAACTTAGACTTATACCTGAAGGCATCGCACATATCTTTTTGTATATCCTAAGTCATTCACTAATGGCACCTCCAAAGCTTTTGCCAGTTGACGAGCCGATGCAACAAACCTGAAGCAGAACCACAAATATTAAGGCAAGCTCACAGTCTTGATTGAAATAGAGCTGAGGTTGAGAACAAAGATTGTCAATCATTACAGTGAAAATTTTAAAGAATCTCAAGCCCCAAGATAGACAAAATACAAAACCAAAAGAGGAAATCCTAAAAACAAATTTATGGTGGGCTGAATGGAGAAGCAGAAATTGAAGTGGAAATTAGAGGGAAAATAAGCTAGTAAAAGCACAAAAGTTTATTGAGGATATTGGTGATTTGGGATGGAGAAAACTGTAGTTTAGAGGTATGTAGGTGGGGAAGAAAACATGGGTGAAAATTTTAGCAGCAACAAAATGCATCCTGAAATAGTTCTATAAGCTACAAAGAACAGCAGGAACAAGTATTTGGTAGTTATGCTCAAAGCACACAAACCAAAAAGTATGGAGTATGGTCTTTGTGTTTAATCATTTTTAGAGCACGTTTTTTGTATGGGGATAAGGAGCCTAAAATCTTTCAACCTAGCTTTGCTAGGAAGCTGACTGTGGAGGTTTGATGCTGAACCTGATAAGCTCTGGAAGAAAGTAATAACAGAAAAATATGGGTTTGATGACAGTGGTTGAGGTAGTGGTCTACCTTAGCCGACTTATGGATGTAGTCTGGAAAGGAATCTGCAGAGCTTCAAACCTGTTCAGAAGGGGAACCGGCTTCAAAGTTGGGAATGGGAGAAGGATCAGGTTCTGGTTGGGTCCCTGGACTGGGGAGAGTTCTCTTAAGGAGTTGTTTCCCACCCTGTTCAGTCTGACTGAAGATAAAGAGGCAATGGTAGCTGATACCTTTGTGTTAAGGGACAATGCTATATGCTGGGTTCCAGCCTTTAGAAGGGATTTCAATGACTGGGAGATTCAGTAGGTTGGAAATCTCCCAGCTTTGCTTCAGTCTCAGGTGTTGAATCTGCAATCCGAGGATTCCCTAATGTGGAGATGGAACAGAAGTGGGGAGTTTTCAGTTAAATCCCTCTTCCCTAGCTGGGTTATTTGGGGGACTGTGGCACCCTCCAAAGTCAAGTTCTATGTTTGGGTGGCAGCTTTAGAGAAGTGTCTCTCTAAAGAGATGTTGACGAAGAAAGGTTTTAACTGTAGTTATCTGAGGTGTAGCCTCTGTCGTGTGTTTACAGAATCAATAAACCATCTGTTTTTACACTGCAATTTTGTTACAAAAATCTGGAACCACTTCTTAAGAAGTTTGAGGTTAAGTTGGTGCATGGTGCATGCCTTCCTCAGTTAAAGCTTGCCAGGATGCATGGCAGATCCAAGGAATGACAAAGAAAGGAAAGAGGTGCTGGTCTTCCATTCCCTTAGCAATTTTGTGGGCAGTATGGACAGAAAGGAATAGCAGGGTTTTTAATCTCAAATCCTCTTCGAAAGAAGAAGTCATCAATATGGCTTTAGGCTTTGTTAGAAATTGGTTGTGTATTCTTGCTGACTTTAAAGAGGTTACCTCTGACTGTAATTTTTTGAGGATGACCTTCTTTTGAGGTCCTTCTGGCTTTTTTGTACAGCTTTTCATTATACAAAGGACCTTTTCATTAATACAATTATACTTTACCTTTTGGTCAAAAAAAAAGAGCACATTTTTTGTATATCTAAAGATTTTGACATACATTTGGATTCAGAGGTCACACGTCACTGGGTAGAGTCTCATTTGCCATTCTTTGGGCAAATCAGGAGAAAGAACATCCCGGACCTTCTTCCAAGGATATGAGAGGTGATGATGGATAGGTAGCAATCCTTGCAGAGTTCAAAGAGAAAACTTTAGAAGTAATTTACAGAGCAGCTTGTTTCCTTCTTTTTTTTTTTGGTGAGGAGAGGGAGGCGGGAGTGGAGGTGATTTTACTGCATAACTTCTTATTTATTGATCTCTACACCTCAAGGATGTGTATTGTCCTTCCTTGCAAAGCTTCTTTCAGGAGATAATTTCATTAGCAAAAAGAGACAAAAAAGGTGTAGATGAGAGGATGCACAAAGGCCATATACAGAATATACAGCCAAACCAGATTTCATTGTTATAAATCCAAAAAATAAAAAGAAAAAGTAGGATTTGGCAAAGAAAAGGATGAAGAAGAACTTTCAGAGTTCGAAACTCAAAAAAAAAAAATTAAAAGAAAAAAAAAGACTCACTACATATTTCACCTTGAAGGTTTCCCCTTGGACAATAGATTTGGCATTCAGCAGAGAGAGAAAGAGAGAGAGAGAGGGAGCAGGAGGGAGGGGGAGAGAGAGAGAAAGAGTTTATTCATTGACATCATAAAGTGAATCTCGATTGGATTAATGCAGTCTAAAATGCTGAGCAAACAAGGGAGCTTGGTACAAAAGAGCACTACATGCAATCCTTTTAGTTTAGGTAAGCTCAAAATTTTAGTTTAGTTAAAGGTCAAAAATATAGTATGTAAAAAAATACTGGAATCACGAAAAAACAGAATCATGAATTTCTTTAGAAACAAAGAACCTTGAGAAGAAAATTGTTGGATGCCAATTTAGCATTAGCACCAATACAGGGGTCACATATTCCCAAAAATTAGGCCAAGGTATGGATTTATTTTCTACTCTAGTCTGCACTCAAGAAGAAAATACAAATATAACAACATACACAATCATACAAGCAATAGTTGTGAAAGAATTGCTCCTTTCCAATAAAACTTCAGAAATACCTGATTGGAAGAATACAAAGATATTTAGATGGAATACATATAAGAAATTAGACAGTGAGTTGGCATGAAGAATGAGCTTACAAACTTTCCCCTCATTCAGGGCACTCAGATTTTTCTTATCTATGTTCTTCTTTCATTTGGAAAGAGGACATTCTAATATTAAATCCAGCATATGCATGAAATGATACCATTGTAAAACCAACTTTCCAGAGCAAATCAGTAGCAGTGGTAGTAGACAACTCTTCAACCACTATTGATCATAATTCATCAAAAGAAAAAAAAAAAAAAAAAAACCCACTATTGATCATAAAAAACTGTTCAACCACTAACACAAGGAAATAAGAGAGGGTGGTGACTCACATATTGCAGTTATTTTGTAGTTCCTGCACAGATAAATTAGACGATGCATTTTGAGTAGCAGCCTGGTATTTTTGAGCTGCTGCACCAAGCTGACTAACCTGCAGAACAGAAACAATATTAATCAAGGATAGACTGTTAAATATCCGCCACATCACACACATCATCCCAGACTCCCAACATGATTTGTTAATGGAACCATTACAATAGGGATAAATTAAAAATATAAAAGAAAATTGTTGTTGAAAATTTTGTTGAGTCAAGTCCCAACTCAATTACTCAACTAAGCCATGTCCCAGCTCTACAAGGTTGGCTACACGAATCCTACTTTCCTTCAGGATCCATGTTCACGAGAGTTTGTCAAAAAGTTGTGATGTCGGCTGCCAACCTGACACAACCCTCCTTTATCAAGGCTTAGGACATGCAGTGTAAGATACACTCCACACTATCAATAACAGTCCTCAATTCCATAAGTGTTCCCTCATCAAAAGAAAATGAAAAAAAAAAAAACAAAAACATAATAAAAGCATGTGTTGCTAGGGCAAGTGAATCAACAATTAAAGAATGCAAGAACAAATATATACATACATACATACATACATAAGTACATTTTTTTTATAAATATATACATAAGTACATAAGTACATATTTGGGTATAGTGCAAGTAACAGGGAGTCTTTAATTCCAGAAATGCAGGAGTACCCTTTCATCCAACATATCTCCAGGAAAGACACTAAATTCATCATAAGAGGATTCTTCCTCCAATGAAAATCATGACATACATCTTGGCACTTGACAGAGACGTACATATTGATTTTGATCCTGTGGTGTATTTGGAATTTATTCATCAGAAAGTTGACCTAGAAAGGAGTCTAAAGATTTTGGATGTTAAAGGTTGTTGGATGATCAAATTCTTCAATGATTTGGAAGAGTGAGGTCATATCTCTTCTGAACAAGTTAGGAAGGAGGTTGAGCACAATGGACCTAGAAATCCACCTTATAAGGGAAGGTTCAGGAGAGTCAAGTCAGATAGGTGTTTTTCTTCCAGGGATCTATTCAGGGCTTAAATTTGTTTTCTTTGGTTGTTGACTAAGCTGGGATCTTGTTGAATTTGAAGGATGGGATGCTTTAGTTACTCCTTCCCTCCAATTTCATCTTAATGAATTCTTTATCAGTAAAAAGATAGATAAACACAGACAAAAGATGTATCCATCATTGATACCTTCCTACATTAGCAAATCATTAATTGGAGACTTGAAAAATTCTGATGATGCCGTGTGAGATTGTTTATTAGGAACAATTCAAACTTGGAATCTGCAACCTTTTTTTTATCAGCAATCTGCAACCAAGGGTCTCTTGCAGCATGGAAGAGCTTGAAATTTTGCAAAGATACAGGAATTTCGTCTATATTGGACAAGGGATTACATGTCAAAGTTAGCCCATATAGATAGAAAATTCGACAGAGGGTCGAGAAATATGGTTTATCAGAGGCTCACAAAAAGCAGCTTCTCTGAAAAGGTCTTCCTGTCCCCTACAAAGACCTTGACCTATGACATGAGAATGAAGATGAACGCCACTGCGAAAGACATGTTTTTTTATCAGCAGCCAATGCTAAAGACAATTATTTCCAAATTAAGGAAACAGTAGAAATATGATCCAAAGTGGGTTTCATCATTATAACTGAAGAATTTTAAGAGAGGTTAGACATGACAATTTGCAAAGCGCAAGGCTTTAAGGAAGACTAAAGATTATTCAAAGTATCAGGTGATGCTATTACTATACAGGATTCTTATACTTGTACAGAAGAATGCAACACCTCCCATCCAATGTTAGCAAACCACAACTTCAAATAGGACGAAGGGCTTCTGAAGCAGTGTTTTAGGAGTGCAAGGCACAAGATATTCCTTGAAATTTAAATAATATCATAACAGAGTGAAACTGTAATGTGATTGTATCTTGGATAAATTCTTGCAACAATATTCCTTAGAAGTTTAGGAAATGTGTTAGAAAGATCTTGAATCTTGGGAATGAACCGCTCATTCAAATGGATCCCTAGAAGTGCTAATGAAATAGCAGATCACCTTGCCAAGGATGGGGCTTCAAAAGAAAATTTGGAATGGGACTTTTCGGCTTCAGATCCGGGTTGTAACTGTTTCTTCCATTTTTTCTGTTTTGATTTATTTTGCTTGTTTTGTTTTGTCACATATGCTGTTTGTATTTTGTCCTTGCTGATTTTTTCAAGGACATTTTTCAGTTTCAATGAATTCATGTCATTTATCAGGGAAAAATGAAAGGCACAAGAAAAGTGCAGGGGGGTTTTTGCACCCGAGGAACAGGCCTTTTGGAAGCAAGGTAGACAATTCTAAAAAATTCAAAAATATAAAAATAATGTTAGTTCAGAAAAATGTAAACTTGAATTTTAAAAGAAATTAACTATTAGCTCAATTAAAATGCATAAACATAAGTACATAACATATATAACATATTCAAAGTGAAAATGTAGATATCAAACATAACATACAAAACATATTAAAGCACTCAACAGTTCAAGCATATGAAACTTTTAACCTATTTATACTTAAAAAAAATAAACTTTTAATCTGTTTATTTCTCTCCCAATTGCATTAATTCAGGCAGCCAATTTGATGTTAACATGTTGCATTACTAATTCTACGAGATTGGCCCTCCACCTCCATAAAGCCCTCTTGATGCAAGCCTAAACAAGTCCATGTAAGGGTCCAAAATCTTTTGTCCATATGTAAAGAGATGTTTTGTAATATTAGGAATAAGAATCAAATATTATTTGATGAAGAATGTCGTGCATTAAGAAGAATGAGAAAATACTAGCAAAAAGGGAATTCTGTAAGAGGCTTCAGGCATTTGAAAAGTATTTGTTTTTTATTTAAATGTTAATAAACCATTACTAATTTATAAACAGTATTAAAAGGTAACAGAAGCTGATGAATCATTACAAAAAAATGCAAGTCCACCAAAAATGTAACAGAAAAAATAAAAGCTTTTAGAAAAGGCACATGCCTAGGATGCAAGGCGCACCAGGCAAATGCCTTTTCAATGGGCTGTGCTTGGGCTGAGGTGAAGTATCTTTCTCTTGCACTTTTTCCTGACAGTGCTGGCTTTTTCCTCATTTTCTGGTAGTACTATTCTGAGGTTCAGGTTGGGAGCCTGAGATCAATGTCATTTTCTAATCAATCCAGTGCAATCATTTCTAGAGCCACAGATTACATAGTATTAATAAATGAAAACCATCCTGAGTATAAGATGCCCTGAATAATCTACAAAATTAACAGGAAAATAAAATCATAAGCCACACACAAAAATTAAATTGACAATAGGAATAAATTATCCTGTCAAAAGGTTAAAACAAATCAGCAAATGAGCAAACTGGGTCTATTGTTGTTATTCCTATGGAATTCAATCAGACAAAAACTTAAAAGCCATTAAAGTGATAAATCCTAAATATGATAAAATAAATAGAAATTAAATGATATCAATCATTTCAAAGTCAACACAACCACCAGATGAGAGAGAGAGAGAGAGAGAAATGGAAGGACAGAGGGGCGTAATGTCATATAAGAGCCTCAGCTCAAACGCTCAAACGCTCAATCACTCAAGATACTCTACTTCCATGAGGTAAAAAGATCCTGTCTGGATCAATTCTCAAGTAGAACAGAAGATTTGACTACAGAGATGCAGTTATTTCAAAAACAGTGACACTGTGACAGTAATAGCAAGAAGCACCAAACTACAACCCTCATTATGCACTTGAACATGAGTTGATTTACCTGAGGTATGATCAATCTCCGAGGAATAAGCTCTTCGTGACGGCGAGCACAAAATTCCCAGGAACATATCTAAATGGGAAGCAATACAAAGATGATCAGTAACACCTCTAGAAAGAAATGGTCAAATTACATGTGAGGCCACTTAGCCAGGGTCTGAGCATATAACCTTTAGATCTGGAGAGAAAACAATCCGAAGCTGACCATCACGAACCACACGTAATTGCTCAAATACACTCTCCTGTATAGCTTTTGCATAATCAAGGACAATCTGACCTTGTGCATTCTGATATTCACGAGGCATATCAACATAAAGGAGTTCTTCTAAAGTACCACTATCATATTTGATTTTGCACAGTCTGGGTAAAACTTCAACAGTTGTTTCTGAAAGAAGAAAAAGAAATATGAGGTGGAACTAAAGAAAAAAAAGAAACAGAAGAAAAGATTCATAAGATGGATTTCAGAGAAACAAAATATTTCTAACGATAACAAGAAAATCTTGAAGTGCCACATCAGTGTCAAATTTTTAGAACCAAGAATAAGGGCATACCAAAACCACGACCAGGCTTGCGGTTGCATATTTCACAGTGCCATACGTCCTGTGAACATTGCAATAGAATTTATCAATACTCACAAAGGCATTTCTAAAGGATACTATACCAAGCATATAAGCATGAAATTTAAGTTAAGCTCAAGAGGCAATCAAGATTCTCCAATAATTGACCTTATTTGACAAGAAATGCAATAAGACCGACCAATTACCTGGAAGGGAATCTTCTTAAATAGAAGCATAATATCACCAATAAACAACAATACTTGTCACTACGCACCTGAGGAAAAACACCAGTCGTTTGCCGGCCACTTCCATACAGGGAAACACACCACCTTTTCTTGGCATGGGGGGCAAAATACTCGGCAACAAACTTCCTCCAGAACTCAATGTTGTTATCCTACATTACAGAAGCATAATTAAAAAAAAAAAAAAAAAAAGAAAAAGAGGAAGTTTCATTTGTTCTAACCAGCCAACAGAAGTTTCATCTCTAGAAATGACAAGATCTTACAGCAGGTCTGTGTTGTTGGTGATACATATAGTTTGTCAGCCGACGAGCACACATCCCAGGTTCATAGGCAGGTTTTATTGCAGATCTAACAGGCAAATTCTGCTGTTGAAACTGTTGTTGTAATTGGGACCGTTGCTGGGGCAGTGCCTTCAAAAGTTGATGCTGTTGCTGTTGCTGCTGCTGCTGCTGTTGAAGCTGCAATATTCTTTGTTGTTGCAAAAGATTAATCTGGGCAGCAGCAGCCTGAGAATTCTGCCTAGACATCTGAAGGAACTGCTGTTGCTGTTGTTGCTGCTGAAGAAACAATGATTGATCTGAATGCTGTGGCTCCATTTTGACCGGTGCCAGACTTCTCAAAGTCTGGATTTGCTGTGGCTCCAATTTCACTGGACCCAAATTTCGCAACGGCTGCAGCTGTTGCTGCTGACTATTCTGATCATTAGCCATCTGTGGCTCCAACTTCACAGGACCAACACTGCCTAGCCCACCCCGAATTGATTGATATTGCTGTTGCTGTTGCTGCTGGTGGTGGTGGTGGTTATGAGGAACAGAAAATTGCTGCAGTGTCTGCTGACCATGTTGAAAATTCTGTGGTTCAAGTTGCTGAGACTGCTGTTGATCTGGCAGTGCCAGCTGATTGCCAGAAGGGTTCGGGAATTGTTGCCCTTGACCTTGACCAGACGTGCCAGGAGTTGGAGCATTTGATGCCGCAAATGTTGCAGGTGAAGAAGTAAAACTCATGCCATTGCCTACTCCAGAAAGTGGATCAGACTCAGCCCCTGTATCAATACCTCCACGTTGGAGACCTCCCGTACCAGAAAGCCCAGGATTAGTGCCACCATTACCATAGGATTGATTGAGGAGGGAAGAAACATTGGGCATGTTACCAAGAATATTCATGTTATTATACTGAGTACGCGGCGAGACGAGAGAAGGGAACGTTGTCTGCGAAGGGATTGGAGCACCTTGGACTCCTAGAATGCCAGAGTTTGTTCGGAGCATTGAAGGTGCAACAGACTGGGCACCACCGACTGGAGTCGGAGGCCCCGACGGCACCATCTTCTTGAAAGATGTAATCACAGCCTTCAAATAACACTAGTCGAGAAATTTAACCTAGAATGGCATGAATTACAATTTAGAGATTCAGACTCTGGAGATCCAAACAAAACATCAACTAAGAAACAAGGACCACAAAACCAGACTTCTCACTCAACAATTGTTTCCAGTATCAACGACTTCATTTCTCATTATGCACTGATACTGAAAAGGCCTTGCATCTAATCGACTGGTTTTGGGAAGCAGAGAAAACTGGAGTAGAAACAAAGAAAAATAAAGCCAAGAAACAAACTTTGGCTCTGAGAATTCTATAACTACAGCAGTTTCACAGAAATAACAATCTCTGGCCAGAAATTGCAACACTATATATGAATCACGAATCCTTAGATGACAGAACCCCGTAATGACATTACACAATACGTCGTCCCCTTACCAAAGATAAACAAATAAATCGATCTTCTTCAATCAAATGCAGCACCTACGAACACCAACCCGTACACTTCTAAACCCTTAACACAAGCATCAAAAGAAGCCTCAAGAATACAGAAAGTTATAATACTATAACCGATCTTCCAACACCAGTGCAATCAAACCCAAAAAAGGAAAATACAAATTGAAAACCTCATAAACCCAGCTCAAACCTAGTGGAAAACTACTTTTATGCCAAAAATAAAAGAGAACTAATCAAACAGGATTTCTCCCACAAATCCCGAAGCTCAAAATGCTATCTTTACACCGAAAACCAAAAACCCACAGTGAAATGAAATATCACTTACACTACAACCGTAACCACAAGCATTCAATAATCAAAACAACAGTCAAAACCCCCCTCGATCAAGCCCTAAATTATAAAATCCAAACCAGACCAACTCTCCAAATAATCAAACGAGTGAAATCTACAACTTTCAAAGTCCAAAACTGAAGCTCAACCCAGAAAAAGAAACCCTAAAAAGAAAAGAAAGATACAATACAACTTACACGAGTTGGAATTCCGTAGTGACATACTCTGAAACTTCGACTTCGACCGAACAAAACCGAAACGCAAATCATCAGAAAATTAAAAAATAATTTTTTTCCTCTTCTTTCTGTCTCTTCTTCAATTGATTCAACTATTAAAATAACCTTCCTTTTCTTCTCCTAGGGTTTTTTCTCCTCTGTTCTTCGTTCAAAGTCGTTTCTTCCTCTGTATCTAATCCCTCTCTCTGAGACTTCCTTCTGTGTCTGAGTTGTTTTTTCTTTCATTTTTTTTTTTCTCTTTGTTTCTGTTTGCGAGTGTAGAGAGAGGAGAGAGAGAGTCCTTGCGGACGTCAAATGTGAATTGTATCGGATTGAATTTTGCTTCGTTCCCTTCTTCACCAGCTTTCTCCAAATAAGTCAAATCTTCGTCCGCTCGAAGACTTGCATGCCATCTCCTCCCATCGTCACCATCATCATCATCATCCATCATATTCATGTGTCATGATGGTGGTATTCCCCATCTAGACCGCCTTAGGTTCAACACTCGCTTTTACACCTGCGCTCCAATCACTCACCCTAAATGCTTACACGTTTAAAGCGCGTACTATTTTAGAGTCTTTGATTTGTCAATTGGAATATGCAAACCGTTTGATGGGCCATCAGCAACATGGTCGGCGCGTTTGTAAAGACGCGCGAGAGTGGGGCTTCTTCTTTCAGAGTTCCGACCAACGAAAAGATTAAAAAGAAGACGCGCCCTACGATTTGGCAGGTAAGATTTGTACCCAAAATGCCAACGTTTGTGGGTTGAAATTACGGTGCCTACTATGACGGTCTATTTACTCATGGAAACGAAAAATCTACGAGAATTTCGGATAAGAAGCCCGACTATCACAGGAGAAAGGGCGAACCGGGTTAATCCGGTTTGACAAGCTGGTTCTGTCAATCTTATGAAAAGGCCAAATCGGAGCCCGTGGCATTAAAAATTAGAGAAAAGTATGGCACCCAATGCAGATTTCTGAATTTCACTGCAGAGCTATAAACATTCAAAATGTCAAAAACCCCCACATGCCGGCCCCCGAATTGCCATCAATTCCAAACGGGCACCCATCCTAATTGTACTTTGGGCCTAAAAATTATAACCCTGGGCTGAATGGTCATTCTCCCTTAAAATTGTATCCAAACCCGACAAAAAATGGATTAGCCTGTTGGATTATTCGGTCCATGAACAGATAGATCTGTTCACAAATAGAGGTGATTATCAAAAACCAAAAAATTGAATTAAACCAATGAAATCAAATCGAAAATTTCACTTAACCAAATTGGTCAATTCGATTTTGGTTTGACAACTTTGAAAAACTAAAGATATCAATTCAGTTTCAGTTAATCAAATCTATACTACCTATAAAAGAGTGAATGCCCCTTGTTTCTAGAATTTTCAATAGACGTTTTCTACCTCCTTTGTCTAAGCAAACAGTGAGCATATATGTCCTTTACTCTCACTTAAGAAACTATCCACTTATAACCATTCAGGAACTGCACACTTATAACTATTCATAAACTGCTCGCTTATAACTATATAAAAAAAGGTCTATTAAAGAGTCCTTACGATGAGAGTGTCATGGGGATTAAAAAGAGAAATAACAAGTATAGTGATTATAGTCCCTACACTTTATCATTAATAGATAGATAAGGCTTAAATAAGCACAACACATGCATGAAAGTATGAAACAAAACAAATCTACCTTCATCGAAGGCACTGCCACGTGCATACACGTTTCATTGAAGGCACTGTCGCGTGCAAATGTCCCTTATTTATGGAATTTTCATTGGACATTTTCTACCCCTTATCTAAGCAGCATACAATAGGCATAAAGAGGGCATATATGTCATTTACTCTCACTCCAAAAACTGACCAGTTATACCAATTCAAAAACTGCCCATAAATTATAAATAGTTTTTTATCTTAGAGATAATGCCATGTGCAAATGCATGTACATTTTTACTAATATAAAAACAAGTGAAGTGATTAACCAAACTAAGATATATATTATTTATAATATAATATATTACAAATATAGTGGTCAAATTGAATAAGCCGGATTACAACATATAAGTACAATCTAATTGGAGCAATTAGACCAAACCAGCTAAAGCACTATGGCGTACTCCATGAAAGACTGTAGTGCTTCTTGGAAAGTTTTGAAAGATCTTGCAATAGCCCAAATAGCCAGCCGAGCTTTTGGAGTATTATCCCTAAGGTAGCGTTCGGTTTGAAGGAAAAAAGGAATGGAAATGAAGGGGAAGGTAACCAAATACAGCCTAAGTTTCATTTGAAACTTCTAAAAATTAATTAATTTTCTGTCTTTTTGTATCGTTTTGGGTGCATGTTTTTTTATTGTTTTATTATATGAAAAGACATATCAAACGCTGCCTACATCTCATGCAACAATAAGGTGGTGCTTGGAAATATGAAATTTTGCCACTAATCCTAAAATTAATTAGATCAGTGGTCAAAGTGCTATTTGAAATGCCATTCCCTCTTCCTTCCTTGAGAATGAAATCTCATTTCAGCTTATTTCAATTTTGATTCTAATTCCTATCTCAATCAAACAAATTATGGGAATAGATCATTCCAATTCTGATTTTAAGAAATTTTAATTCCAATTTCAATTCTGACCGTAAACCAAACAGACCTTAAGTGCCGAGTCATCACTTACTGCTTTTAAGCAATATACAAGTTATTTTTTTAACTCTTTTACAGTTAAAAAACTTCCGTAGTGCGGGAAAAGGAAAAAAAAAAAGAGTTTTATAGTGAAAATATATTGCAATAGCCGGTTGGATTTGGGCCTGGGTGCTTGGCCCAACCTGAGGTCCAGCCCAAATTTATCAATCTAGGCCTAGCCCAAGCTTAATCCAAATGTAACTTGGGCCGGGCTTAGATGGGCTTGAGCATATTGGTGGGATTTCAAAGAATGTATAAATATATTTTTGTATAGACATCTTTTATTGATCTTTATGCCCAAATTAGAAATAGAACTAATTGAAATTATATAAATATATTTACAAATATACATATATAGTATATATAAGTAGAAAGAAATAGATATTTTTATGTAACTAAGATGCCTGTATGTTTTGGACAGGTTCAGGTCGGACTCAAACTAACTGAGACCTCAACCCAATCCCAACCCATGTTTAGGCCAAGCCCATATCTTCTGATCCAGGCCTGACCCGTGAAAAAACCTGGGATGGATTGGGTTAGTCTCCAGTTGGGCCCATTCAGGTTGCAGCCCTACAAACTAATTAGCGGTAATCTATCAACTTGTATATGCAATTGAATGAAGAAATAATGTTGAAATAAAAGGATAAAAAAAAGATCCATTAGTAAAAGAAATGAAAAAATATTAAACTTTGAATATTACATTTAGAATAATAAGAAAATCTCACTTGATTTATCTAAAAGGCTAAAAGCTTGATTAGTTTTTTTGCATTAAACTCTTTAAAAACACTGAGAAAAGCTAATAGAATTTTATTTGTCTTATTGATTTTCTCTTCTACTCTTTTAGTTTATTTGTCTTATTGATTTTTCTCTTCTACTCTTCAATCTAAGCTGAGTTGAGCTTTTAAACCAGACTTAGAAATGGTGAACCACAAATTGTATTTTTATGCCAATTTATGCTTTTTGGTTAAAATCAAATTAAACGAGGACTACACAATAGATTAACAATTACCATAGGAATAAAAAAAAAAGTTATAGTTTGAACAATGTCTCAGTGTGACAAGTAGGGAAAGGATAGCAATTTTCCCATCCCACTAGGTACTTGGCTTCCCTTACCTGATTAGTCAAGTATGGAGACTACTTTGGCAAGGACGGGGATGAGGATGGGGAATGGAGTCCCTACCCTGCCTTGATCTTAATTGCAAGGTTTGTAAAATCAATCCAGAGACCGAATCGGTATGGGTCTGATTATTGGGTTGAATAGTCCAATCGTTTAAACCGAACGGTCAGCCCGTTCAGACAAAAAATTAAAAAAATAAAAACAGTCAAAACCGTTGAACAGTTCAAACGGATTAATTGCTCAGGTCAGCGGTTTGTTAACCAAATCAATAATTTTTTTGTAAAAATCTGGATTTGGGGAAAAACGGAACCGATCACTTGATCTTTTCTCGATTTTTCCAGTCCGGTTTTGAAAACCATGCCTAATTGTAATATATTAAATATTTTTAAAGTATTATTTATATTTTATATATTAAATATTTTAAAATATTAAAAAATATATACATATATTTAATATTTTTAAATATTATTTGTATATAAGTTATTAAATAGATTTATATTCATTCCAACTCAAACAAATGCTAGTTAATTTTTAAAGCAGTTTAGATTAATGATATCTTTCACATTTTAATTATTTTTTCAAAGTACAATTTTGATTAAAAATAAAACTGAATTCAGGGTTTTGGGCCCCTAATGGGGAACTTGTCTCCATCGAGGATTGGGGATCAGGGGTCCAACCCAACTTTTGTCATTCCTATGATTATTCTTGATGGATTAGAAACTACTTATATATACCCACATAGCATAAATAGGACCTCTATCATGTCACCATTTAGAGCCATTAACAATTCTATAATACTAAAGTTGCCCCTTAACGCTATGTTTGGTGTGAAGGAAAAGGTAGCGAAAGGAAGAGAATGGTAGGAAAACATATACTAAAGGTTTCCTTATCTTTTCTTTCCTTTCCCTACTTTTTCCTTCAAACCAAACATAGCTTTAAGTGTTCAAATCTTTGGGTAAATCATTTCCTCTCTCTTCATCGTCCCTAAACAAACGAGAGTGGCAACCCCCTTGTTTCTTAAACGTATAGGGTCAGTCTCGATCTCTAGAGTGACATCATGGTCATCATCGTTGTCTGCCTAGTTTTTAAGTACCAAAAAGTGATGTCTTCTTTGTGCTTCATCTGAGACGATGATGCACGACTTCCTTCTTTTTTTTTTCTTTTGGTTATGTTACTATTGCTGTTCTTGAGTTTTAAGTTCTTTGGGTTAGATCACACAAGTGACACAACTCTCTCTCTCTCTCTCTCTAAATCCCTTTCATTGGTTAATTACCACTACAACCCCTTCAAATGCCATCAGTTACCACACTACACTCTGTTTCTCTCTCATTCATATTTGTTCTACTCATTCCAAAAAAGGATCAAAGTATCGGTATCAGGTATCGTATCGAATAAGTAAGATACAGATACAAATACATTTTGGAAACACATGGATACGAATAAAAGGTATAAAAATGTTTAGATACGAGAGAAATGCATACAAATTACATAAATACATTAATAATACTAAACCAAAAGCTGAATTATCTATGAATAAGATATGAACACATGAGAAATGCATACTTCAGTAGGTTATATGAAGAAAAATATTACAATAAACAATACCGGGACCCTAGAA